TACATGACACATAAAATCAAGCAAAGGAACGACTAAAGTCATTCTCATCAGATCATCTTATCTAATTCTTTTGAAAGAGTTTATTTTTCAAACCCTAAAACACAACAGAGAGTATATACGATGGCGATATTTATGGGATTTGTCAAATTGAGCTTTATTTCAAATTATACAAACAAGATCTTTTTGGGAAATAAGAATTTAGAGACATTATAGATCCGTTTTTTGCCAAAACTTCAAAGCCAAATCAGTATTATCTCAAAATGTATTAGATATCTTGATGTTCGCTTGCTGTTGATGTAGATTCATCCTATTACGTCTGGGGCTTCTCATATCAATGCGTAACGCTTTAAGAGAGGAGGAGGGGTGATGAGCGTGCGTTACGGTTGCGTTGTAGGGGGAGGACGGAGTCCATGGCTGCATTACGCGATGTTGAAATCGGGGATCAACCCCGATTTTTGAATATTTAAGATGATTAATAGATCCGAGGTGGCAATTATCCATCCAAAATAAATGAAAATCGCCAATCTGAGGAGAGAGGGTGTGACGTAATTGTTTCGTGAAGAAAAGTGGTACAAACCTATGTAACGGAAGCGTTTGCAGGAGGGGAGGGTAAAAAAATTCGATTTTTAGCTTTACGTATTTTATGAGCGACTCCTCTAAATTTGCCGTGCGGAGGTTTCGGAGACTATTTCACCCTTACCTGTCATTCTTAACTATCTCTATTGTCGTGCGTATAATACAAAATTACCTTTTTATCTTGACTTTTACAGCGGTGTAATGAGTGCGGCGCGGCACTGCGCTGAATGAAAAACACGTCAACTTAAACTTGGAATGTTTTATTGTGGATTAAAATGCAGGTTTAGCTCAGAAGTTGATTCATATACCTTTGAATTTTGAATATTAGTGCGGCTAGTAATAGCAACAGCACTTTTTCACTGCCTACTGAATCGTGAGTTGCACCTTGGAAAATTTTAAGATACGTGTAGCATTTGTTATTTAATCATCGAACTTCAGAATGTTTCTAAAAATTGAGTTTTTATTCTTTTCAAAAATTACTAAAAATTGTGGGGGAAAATCAGAGGCGGATCTAGACATTTTAAACAGGAAGAAAAAAGGTCGTCCTGAGGACAATCGAAAATTGTCAAAATTTTAAAGCATCTAATATGCAGTTTTAGTCAATTTCTTCATGAATAGTTACCAACTCTAAGCATCCTCACTTCTTCTTTCCTCCATACCTTTCTTTCTATTCTTCCCATTTTTTCTTTTCTTTTCACGAATCAACGAGGGGGGGGGTGTACGCCCCCTCCACCCCCTTGGATCCGCCTATAGAGAAAATATATCATAGACAAAAGTGGGTTGTCAAAGCGGTGAATACCACGCTTATTATCAACGGTGATCGAGGATAGACTTTTCTACCTCCCCGAAAAATGGCCCACGAGGAGCAAAGTTTCGTTTTTTGGTAATCCCGTCCGGCAACTTAGCTCAATTTCGCCGGAGAAAGTTGAAAGTCAAACGAACGGAGCACATTAAAAGTTCCCGAACAACGCAGCGGCCTAAATAAACATAAATCTCCCGTCTCAATGCATCCGCCGAAAACTACGGGGCTGAGGGCAAAAAGGCTTCAATAACACTGCGTTAACCAGGAATTGATATTAACTCAACTGAGCATTTTCTAATTTAAAGCGCACTTGCTCGAGAGTATGGTGCGGATGCTTATTGCACTGCGTTACCCCGTATCGTGGCACCTCTCGCGTAAGGGCGTCTCTGAATTTTCACGTGAGCTTCGTTCTCCGTACAGCTGAGTGATTCTAGGGCTCATATGGGAATAGAGATATGCCGTCATGTCGGAGCAGCGACGGTATACGCTCCGCGCCATGTACCAGCATCGTGTAAGACCAAAGCAAACAATGCGAGAGAAAATAGACGAATGAATTTCAATCGCGGCTCGCGGTGTGACTGAAGAAATTCCTCTGTTTATGAGAAAATATTGCGGAGCTAAAATTAAAGCCACGCAGCTGTGCCGAGGACCCTGTAGAAAGGACAATAGGGACAGAATTTTAAATTGGGAGGGAATGCAGGGGATGGGGGGGACCATGCCGAGAAAGTTCGTAGAAAATCTGAACACTATAAACCACGATTATTGATTCCCTCGAATCATTAAAGAATGGTTTCTTGACCAAATCAAATTCTTTTTTGAGTCTTACTCGGGCAGTTTTTGTAAAAATTGAATCGCCCTGGTAAAAATTGGCGATAAGAGCTGCGTTTCAAAATACCATAGGAATTCTTATAGCCGGCTAAAGAAGGCTACAGAAAATCATATAGCTGGCTGTAGAATGCGGAGAAAATCATACGGCCGGGCTATACGAAGCGATAAAAAATTATGCAGCCGGGCTATACATAGTTCCTATCGCCGGGCTTTACACTTTATCGCCTGGCTGTTGCTTTTTCGTCATCGATTATAAAAGGCTATAAGAAATTGTGTAGAAATTCGTGTGCTTTGGAAATCATTAAGTTTGATTCGGAACCACCTTAATATTTACAAAACACACATTATATTTTCCTTTACTACATATTTTTTTTCATCAATTAAAATGAAAATGATCCATACAGAGTGTGCCAACAGTTCAAAGACATGAGCTGAAAAACGCTGACTCCGCCAGATTAAATATTAGAGCCTAACACAAGGCGGAGCGGCGACGCACTGGCGCCTACAAACCTAACACGGATACTTCACGCATTGCGCAATGCGTGAAGTATCCCTGTTAGGTTTGTAGGTGCCAATGCGTGTTTGCGCTGCCCGCCTGCCACGGCGCTTGAAGTAACTATTTCACACCAGAGGTATTGCACAGTATCATATGAAACTGAAGGCGCTCTAATATATTAGTAATGGCACGCAAAATAAATCAAGATACCACGGCCAAAAAAGAGAGCAGTAGTCCAAAAACTCACCAAGTCCTAGCATTCGTAATTAGTGACGTTTAGCATACACTTTATCGCCTGGCTGTTGCTTAGTCACCATCGGCTATAAAAGGCTATAAGAAATTGTGTAGCCGGCTATAGAAGCTATTGGAAATCTTACAGCCGGCTGTAGGTCTATGGTATTTTGGAACACAGATTCTACTGCCAATTTTTACCAGGGCAACTTAAATAGATTTGAAAGATTTTGGTGTCACGCACCAGCATTTTATCTGCACCAGAAAACGCTTTTTCGCATCTAATGTCCTCTAAACATTTGTGAATATTATCAGCAATAGATAGAGTATGGTGAAATAGATAGTGGTCTACGCCTAATTTGTCGTTCTTCTAACGGAGGAAGAACAGAGCTTACTGAGCTAAGTTCGCAGTATTTTTTGATACATTTTTCTGTTTTTCAACATTGTGGCAAAACAGATTTAATAGCTAGAAAATTTTCTGACACGTGACGTCATCAGGTGACATTTCCGATTTTATCACATGTATTTCAGCAGTTCAGGCCGTTTTGTCATTTCTCCTCCAATTATGGCGCTTTTCGGAAACCAAGTATATTTTCATGCTCATATTTCAGCTCATTCAGTAGTTTTCTCTTGAATGAGAGGCTTAGAGGACAAGTGGTAGAAGTGCAGTTTTTGCTATTTCAAATACGTGTTTATGATTTCAAAATGATATGACCGATAGAAAATTCAAACTCTTTTTTTGATGCTTAAAATTGGATTTTAGTAAGGAATTATTCTCAGAATGTATTTTAAGACTAGTTTTAGTTGAAATAATTGATATTCTCATTTATTTTTAAAAAAACTGCACTTATCTCACTTGGCTTCTTAGCCCCTCAAATATGAAATAAATTAAATTTCAGACACCTGCGAATTCTCCACACGGATAAAAAATTTGTGTACTTGTTACATTTGGGGATCATAGGAAGTGAAATACAAACCAACACGCATTTTGTGTAGATTTTGGTACAGTTTGCGGTGCGATCAGCGCAGAGACTGGGAGAATGCATTGTTCCGATTGCGACGTTCGTATTCACCACTCAGTTTTTTTATTAAATGCCTTCAAGAAACTAGCTGGCATTTTTTTATGGAAATTTTCAACCAAAGGTTATTTTGTGTTTTACTTCCTGTATTAACCAAACTTTTGTGTCAAAGTCTGCCGTCCAACGCAATAACGTCGTATCTTCATTCCAGATTCGGCACATTTTTCTAGGACAAAATTTTCCACAGCAAAAAAGGCCGCTAAAATCCATCCTTTGTCCTCTCGGAATAACTTAGTTATACCACTGGCAAGTAAAAATGAAAATATGGAGCATACAGGTGGTAGGGTTTTCTTGTACCGGAGCATTTTATCTGAACAAATATTTTAAAATCTGGAATGGATTTATGGCGTTTTGCCTTTGGACGGCAGAAATTTCTCTCTATGCATCAAGAAAACCGCCCATCGTACCTTTACAGCCCTGGATAGACGATCAAATTTCGAACCAATTCCGATCAAAGCAGACATGCCGATGGCTGATGGTCACCATCTACCATCAAATTTTGACGGGCCGCGCTATTTTGTTCACAGTAAGATCAGAATGAAGTGCCACCACTCATCATTTCGTCACCTTCCAGGCAAAGTATCACAAGCGCCATGCGACGTTTAAAAATTTCCGCCGTCATTTTATTGCTTTACTGATAAATTGTTGGTTGAATCTGTTTGGAAATTTCACTAAATTTTATCGGCAGCACAAAGAAAATTCAGTGAAATTTTCGGACAGCTTCGTTGAACAATTTCTCTGTAAAAAAATAAAATGGCGGCGGAAATTTTTAAATGTCGCATGGCGCTTGTGATACTTTGCCTGGAAGGTGACGATGTCCTGCCTCAGGAAACATTTCTGCCAAGTTTTCATTTTAAAACTAAGCAAATTAATGAGTTTAATACTGATGACTCCCGACACTTTGATGGTAATTGGTTCGGGAATTTAATCGTCTATCGTAACCTTAAAAAAATTTGACAAACCGTTTTTTTCTGTGTTTTTCAGAGCTTCGGTGGCTCATCGGGGTTTCCTCCATGTTCTCCCCTGGAAGATGGTGTTTCATCGGCTCTTTCATGTGCAAAGTGAAACGTTTCATCGCGACCGTCCGAGGAGCCCGGCGCGCCCGCCGTGAGCCGTGCGAGTCTCTGCCGGAGCGTTGATTTCGATCCCCTGTGAACGAGGAGCTTCTCAAACATTGTGAACATTTACGAAATCTGTTGAGCGAACATTTGCGGATCGTGCGGCGCGGGCGCGGGTCTCGGGATTCGGCCGTCTCTCGCAGGATGCTCACGGTAAACGATCCCGGATCAGGATTAGGCTACGTCTTATCAGCTTGCGTCCTCCTCGCCTCCTTCAACTCCCCCGCCTACGGAACAGGTGAGTTTCCTCATTCATTCAAATCGAAACAATCAAATATCAGCGGCGTAGCATGCTTTGCGATGTATCTGTCACAGGCAAACCCGAGTAGCGTTTTTCAACGGAAAAATCGCGATTTGTGGCGATTTTGTCGGCGATAGAATCGCTAAGATCATCAACATCTGAGCGATTATCCTCGATCTTGTCGCAATAAAATCGCGATTTTATCGCCCGGCAATTGATCGCGATATCATCGCAACAAAAATCGCGATATATGGTGATTTAATCTCGATGATATTGACGAAAAGTGACAGCGATTTTATTGAACAAAAAATTGCGATGTATAACGATTTAATCGCCATAAATAGCAATTTTTTATTCGATAATATTGCGATAAATTGCCACCAATATAATCGCGATAATCAAGCGATAAAATCGCTATTTATCGCGATCACTGCTACTTGGTTAATGGTAAAATCAGGCATATTGTCAAATGCCTGGGCATATTGTCAAATGCCTGGGCATATAGTCAAATGCCTGGGCATATAGTCAAATGCCTGGGTATATAGTCAAATATTCTAACTGAGATTGAAATTCTGATTCTTTTCCTCATTTTAGACAAAATGATTGATTGCTTTTACAAGAAAAACATTTTAGTAAAAATTTGCAACACACAAAAGTATTTTAAACGATTTTCAGCTCCTGAACAGGCACTTATCTCGACATTTTCAGCATGTCATAAAATGCAGAATTTTTAGAATTTCAACATTTAAAAATATGAGAAGAAATTGAAGAGAAAGAGACAAAAAGAGTTCGTAGGTTTGATGAGTTATTTTTCCAAAAATATTGAAGTCTCGTGAGCTCTTCGCCATAAATTAACAAACTTTTGTAGACCGTCAAAATGTAATTATCTGCCTAGGCATTTGACAAAATGTCTGATTTCACTACTTTCCTGCGACATATCGATTGATCTACCTCTTAAACCTATGGAAAAAGAACGATCATCAGAATGTTCACAACGAACACCTTAATAATTGTTCTTTACCATTGCTTCAAATGGGAAAATATCGACACTCGATCATTCACGTCTCGCCACTGTGTGCTCACTCTGCCGTGAAAGCGAAGGCAGCAATAAGTGCAAAGATGAAGTTTCGAGAAAACGGGCTCAAAAGCGTCTGGCCGGCAAATTTTATGGAAAGGAGCCGCCGTTCTTTATCAAATTGCCACTAATCATCCGAAACGCTCTTTGAATGATTAAAAATCGACCGATTTTATTTTTAATTATATAAAAAAGTTATTTTTCATTTTCATGTTAGGCCATAGTGCTAGGCAAGACAGCCGTAAGTGCTATCCCCTGCATGCTTTCGTGGTTGCGTTTTGGACACACAACAAACACATTTTCGGATTAGAAATTGGCAGAAGAGGGCGGCACTTTACTTGAAAGCACTGTTTTCATTGGCTCTGGAGGACTAATGTCACTTACGGCTCTTTTGCCTAGAAATATGTCATTTTTGCGCAATTGCGGCTTTCTCATGTGTCTCGTTTTCATACAATTAAGACGAATTTTGCCGTTTCATTCAGTTTCCTCAGTGATTTCATCTAAATGAAATCAGACGAATTTTGAAGGCAACTCGATTTCGAAAATTTGACCCTTACTGCTCTCTTCGCTATCACGGCAGCACTTGGAGTACCTTTATAGACAGAGCATGGCCACTGAAGGTTCCGCTAGTGCACTCAGTTGACGAGGATTAAAAAAGGCATTCAGATTCCAGTTTAATGAATCAAGCAATAAAAACATTTTCCGCATCTTCAAGAATGCGAACCATCGAATTTTCGCCTCCAAGCTACTAAAACGGAATGTAAATCTCAGACGTTCATCGTAACTTCGAATACGGTACATCACGGATACGTTCACGGGGACTATTGATTTTTACTCCTTGTTTGCGCTGCATTATTCCACCTTGATCCCCAACACTTATCTTACAAAAAGTTAATTAAACCCCCACACAAAGATGTACGCGGCGAGAGAGAGACCGGACTCGAGAGTGAAGTTTAGTTATTGTCGCCACGTATGTACCTATACGAAGCACCTTTTGCCATCACCCTGTGCAGTTTAAAAGAGCTGAATGGTCCGCCTTTAGACCCTGAGCCAATATCTGTTTGATTGGAGGAAAAGTGTCCAAGATGGATTCCGCGGAATTTTTCTTTTCCAGTATAATTTGTTTTAATTTGTACTATACAGTTTTGATGGGCATTTATTGCTGACATTGTAATTTTGACCACTGGTTTTGACGGAAATACTGACGAAAACCCGGCTTTTATTTTTTGTCAGAATTTTCGTTCATACTATTCTGCGAGCTGTAATGTAACAAAAATGAAGTACAAAGTGAGAGACGCTAATTTTCAAAACCTTAGAATAGGAGCAAAAAAAGGTAAATCTCTATTCCTCAATAGTTTATTATTAATTTTTTCAGTTATATAAGCCAAAAATAAAAAGTACGGCTAGATAAATTCATCGATCGATTATCGTTATTGATTCATTAATTTTTTGGACGTACTTTTGACTTTATCATTGGGTCAATAAACTTCAAAATGTACCCACATATTCTCAGAGTGTAGATCTATCTCCGCGCGATCCGTTTTTTTGAAAACAGCCCGGGTAAAAATTATAATTAGATGAACATCAAAGCGTTGGCGATATACATGGAACTATTTACCGTGGATTCATCCTAAATATTAACGAGACGAACTAGTAATCTTTCACGTTGTGTGTGATTTTGGTTTTCCAGAATAAAAGAGCTGATTTACGAGAATGCTCAGAATACAGGGACCCCTCAATATAAATAAAAAAGCATCATGTAAACGCACATTTATGTATTAACAACAAATGCCCCTTCTGAGTATTGGTATAGACTGCGGAGCTCTTTCAATATCTTTCAAAGAAGTAAATATATGTTTTACCCACTACGGACGGATTTGTTAATATACGAAAACAATATTTGAGTGAATATAATTAGGAAGCACGATCCAAGTTTTCATAAAGGATAAGAGCAACTTGGAGGAGAACAGTGAATGCATCGGTACAAGTAATTAATTAGAGAGTATAGTCGATGTTTCGCACTCTAGAAAAAAACATGTTTAGTGCGCTTTCAGTGCTTTCGACTTTTGTCAGTCTTTAACCCATCCAGATGCTTCGCGTCTATTGGATATTGAGACTGTATTGGTCTCAGATTAATGCCGGTGCGATGGCATGTTTTGCCGGACTTTCAACTGCTCGCCGTTCCTTTTAAAATTAAATTATCAATACTGCCGTGCTGAGGAAAAACGCCGTATGAGCATTCGAATGCTGCTAAATTACCTCTTAGGAAATATTTATTTTTGAAGGATCTATGAAAATTTTTCCATGGAATTTTTAGGCACTCCAGATCAAATTATGAGTAAAACCCTCCGAAAGATGATCAGATAATATTTACAAATTTTCCCAAAAATTCGTGATTTATCGAGGGAGATTTGGCAACGCCTGAGGGTTCATACGGCGTTTTTCCTGATGCACAATACGTCGCTTGGCTGACATAAGGGCGTAACTACACATTGAGATGAGCCCGGTAAAGCATTGAATTGTATGGGAGACAGGGTTCATTGTAGAGTGTAGTTACGCCCTTATGTCAGGTAGGGGGTAGGCGACGAATAAATTCAACACTAAAATCGATTATTGAATATATGATGATTGCACTACGTTGCGGTACGTATGAATTGTTGTTGCCAAACAAGCCCATACCATGGCGGCTGCGCAAGCTTATTAAAGGCGAGTTACCGGGAGAACGAGAGGAGGGAGGAATTAGTGCACGTAGGAGCCGAATAAGCAGTCATTTGAATGATTAGAGCTACAGGAGGGCTTGTTTTCTTTGAAGTTTCCAAAGCGCCTCGCATCCAGCGAGTCATCGGTGTTTGCTTTTTAACAAACAAAAGCAAATGGTTTTTCGCAAATCCAATTATAAGAGCACCTACCCACCCCTGAGGAATACCCGAGTTTACCTCGGTCTCGAGCTTACGGTCGCGCCGGGCGGCGTCCTCTGGTGCTTTTAAACTTTCGGCCGGGAAATTTTTAGATTGAGCCTCGTCTATCCTTCCGCCTACTATCACGAAATTGAATATTTTAACGTCTTCCGTCAGTAATTGAAGCTCCTCGTCTTAAGATATTACTTGGTAAGTGTTTTTGTAGGAGGATGTTTTCGTGTGATTAAAAGCTCTCCAGAATATGAATTGGATTGAATTTTGCAGAACAGTATTCCAGTGTCGCTAAGATTGTGCGACTATCCTTTCATCTTGCAAATATAAACTGATTATTTAAACAAGTTTGATCTTAATCCCCATAAATTATACGTCAAAGAAAAGAATTACTGTTGTAATTTTTTTTTAAACATGCATGATTTCTGTAATTTATTGCAAAGAATGTAAGTTTCACAATCCTAGCAACATTGGAATGCTCTCGGTTCCTTTTTGTAAATTGCAAACTAGTTAGTCGTGCGCAGTGTAATAAGAAAAATATATAAAAGACGGCTATGTTGTATTATAGAGCCACGGAGGAATATTATTCGAAGGATGACGTTGAAGTTAGGCTTTTTTCAAACTTCCAAATCGCAGCTATATAGCACACGCCAAATAAGTATCCGGGTATTTAAACCGGTAATCCAGGATTGCGCGAAAGGTCTTAGAAAATGTATGAAGATTGCGCGAATAGAAACCTTAACATCTGCTACAAGAACGCGCGAATTTAAAATGAAGTTAATTTAAGTTAGAAGTTCGGCATAACCGGAAACAGTTGGAAAATAAACGCATTTTTATGTTAACGCTAGTTTAGGATAGTTTGTTAACAAGTCATCGATGCCTTACCCTCTGATGAAAAATGAAGGGAAAAGATTGAATAATGGTCGAGGGTTCTCCTAACTTTTCTCCAAAAAAATATTTAATCAGGAGAAACGAGGCAACGTTGCAATGCTCATACGACGTCGAAATGTAAG